CGCCTTCCCTGCCCACCCCTGCAACCTGTTTTTCCGCCGTGCAGTTTCCTGGAGCCCCATGGCTCCTGCCAGCGTCCTCGGTGTCTGCAGCCTCCTCTGGAGCTGGGCGGCCGTGACGGGACACCCTTGCAGCATCGACAGCCAGGTAGGGGGCAAAGGAGACTCTGTGGCGCGCCGGAGCGGCTGGGCTGGGGCAGGGCAGCCGCGCTTTGGTCTGAGTACGAGATGTTGTCTCGCCTGTTTGCTAGGGAGCGCGACGGAGATGGCCAAACGCCTCCTGCTCCAGGAACCTCTCAGCTGCGCCAGCGCTGCTGCCGATAACGCAGCCACGAGCAGCGGGGGCTGCACCGAAAGCAGCAGCGAGGCATGGCCCCAGGAGGGCTCAGAGCCCAAATCTGGTGAAGAACATCCCGGCAGTGTGTCACGGCCTGGACATTGGGGGCCCCTCGGCCCCTTCTCCCCATGCCCAGTGATTCTGCGACAGAAGCCAGGGTCAGGACGATCCTGGGGGTCAGGATCAGTAAGCACTTAACAAGGAAAAGGAAATAAACTGTAAGCCATCATGAGGGGAGAAAAAAGAGAAGGCTGATTGTGGCAGGGGGGCATGGAGTAACAGCAGGAGTCAGCAGTTCGGCTGCAGCAGGCAGGAGCGAGAAAGAGAGAGAAGGCGGCTGTCGTGCGCAGGAGGTGTTATAGCACAGCACTTACCACTGAGCTCTCAGATGCACCCTGAGAAGGTTTTAACGGGGAAATTGTTTTTCCAGCGCCCTAGCACATGAGGCCCTTCGAGCTTGGGATAGGTCTTGTGTGGGGCCACCGTGGCTGGGCCTTGCTATTCCTCAGTCCTCGGCAGCCCAGGTTTGCAAGTGCACATCCCTTTCTCTGGTGAGCAAGGCATGATAGGAGAATTGGGCTGAGCGGAGGATGAAAGGAGAGGTGATCATGCGATTGGCAAGGAAATGGAAATGACTGCTAGCTAGAAAGCAGCCAGACCTGGGAATCTAACCTAGGCCTGTTAAATGGCCACCCTGGTTTTAGGGGGCAAAAAATTCATTCATTTGGATAGATCCATGCACAACCATGCACTACTGGCCTTTTGGGACAGAGAATGATCCCTGGTCTGTGTTATTTACTAGTACAGACACAGTCAGCATGTGTTAAGTCACTGCCATTCTCAGTGTCTTCAGAAACATGCAAAGGGGCGGGAAGCTGTGAATGCAACATTCCTGTGCATGCCCTGAGGGAGCAGCTCTTGACTTGGGTTGCATATCTTCAGGAGACAGGAAAACCAGAAACAGTGCAAAGAACAAGTGAAAAAAAGCAGAGTTTACTGAAGGAATGACTCGAGGAGGGGGAGGGTTGATGTGTTGGGATATGTCATCATGGGAATCACAGCTCCATAAACCTTCATAAACCATAATGTGCAAGCAGAAGAGGTAACTGTTCTTCCTCTACAGGGCTTGCACTGTAAGTCCCAGCAGAGTCCCTGTTTCTCTTGAACATATACAAGAACCTTTAGGTGTTCTGAGATGTTGTGACTGTGCTGGATACCC